GAACTGGCGAAAATTTTAATTTGCCGACTGGAATTCTTTCGGATGATCGACGTTTCGGATGATTGACTTTCGGAAAATCGACGCTCTACTGTATAAAGATGTAGAGCAGGTTGAAATTAGTACATTCCACATTTTGTTCAATCAGAAAAGAATAGAGAGCACACCAGTTACTCCTGACAATTTGAAGGTTTGTGTAAGTTTGGCTTCTCTGTATTGCTGAGCTGCTTTGTAAGTGTTTGCTTCTCAAGCTGTAAATAGTTTGTGATAAAACTATCAGTGATAAATACATTTTGGCTTCATTAAAAAACTCAAAGGATAAAAAAGAAGGCTGTAATTTTGAACTTAGCATTTTATTCACCCAGAGAATGTAAAACAAATGAAAAAGAATAAAGCAATTTTTCCAAATCACCAATTTTCACCAACATAATTATAGCTAAACAAAAAATTGCTTTGTCACATTCTACATCAAAATATGTAAACACTTCCATTACAGTATCTCAAAGAAATCACTTAAACATGTCTATTAATGGCAACACAGGTGTAGGTTTTTATTCAACAGCCAAGTCACAAACACAGGAAATCATTCCTTCCCGATGTAGTCCAAAGTTGGCCAATTGCACAGACTCGGAGAAGCATTAATCCAAAGAAGCAAGAATATTTATAGAAAATTATGTCTGGAGTTAGGCCTCCACAATTTACCTTTCAGGATATGGGAATACAATACAACTACACCACCAGTCAGTACATAACAATGCACTTAAGGAATGCAACAACAAATTCATCTTTCCCAGAACACATGGTGTAGAATTTGGAACGATTGTCTTGACATCCTTGTTTTCCTTCAGGAGACACTTACTGGAAAGAGATATCTGCATTTCATACAAGCCTTATTGATTTGTTATGAATTGTTGAAAACATTGCAAATCATAAATGCCTATTCTAATACAAAAAGTATCAGAATAAGAATTTACTTTTTTAATATCTTTATAAATTACAATTCATTAAAAGTAATAATTACGAGACAGCAAGAAAAGATCATCTAGACATCTGGAAAGACAAAAGTAACTCTATGCCAATTTAAAACACCAAATCAGATAAGCAACACTGTCACAGAACCAAAATACTACTGTATGTTCTACTAAGATCACTCCGTAAATAAACAACTTAAAGACATCAATATTTATTCTACAGGAGAATTATCAATACATTTGATACATATTTTAGGAATAGTGTTAAGAATCAATAGATATTTTAGAAATAAAACTATATTTTTCCAAATAAGAACAGGCAACCCTCAACTTTCACGCATAATTGGTTCCTGAAAGCGTGTGCAAATGTTGAATGTTCGAAAGTAGAGGGATGTAAAAAAATATGCAAAAATATGCACCAAAAACTGTGTTTGAAAGTATTTATTTATCAATATGTATACATAATGAAGTTAACGAGGCATGTTTAAGTGCTTTTGGGTGTTTTCTTTATAAACTTGTCAAGAGTTAGTTAAATACCATCTTGATAAAGATTGATAAAGATTTTCTTGATAAAGATTTCTATAACATTATGTGTCTTTCTCAGTAACCCTAAGTACTTGAGATAACGTTCTCCATTGGGATCACATTCTTCCATGATAGCCAAAAATTTATCAAGATGCATGAAGGCTTCATTCATATTTTTAATTGTCAAAGTCTTGACGTTTTTATCAGCTTCTTCTTCTTCACTTTCATTGTGTATTTCATTGTTGCTCAATTAAATATTCATTTGACAGAGATACTGAGTGAGATTCAATCAACTCATTAAAATCTTTATTGTTGACGTCCAGGTTTAGTTCATTCATTAGGCTAACTATTTCATCTGTGATAGTTTCCAATGTTTCTTCAAAATTTATAAAATCACTCATTTGTGGGCATAATTGTTTCCAGGAACCTTTCATTGTCGACTCTTTTATACCACAAGTCTCCAATATTGTTTATTGCATTTCATATATCATAGTTTTTCCAAAAATCTGTTAATATTGGCCCATCTTCCCTGTCAGTTGGCTTGATGGCCTTAGTCATTATTGTCCTCATATAATATCATTTAAACGTAACTATCCATGGGCTGTATGAGGCAGGTAGTATTGGGAGGAAGAAACACAAAATTGGTTTCTGGGTATAAATTCTGCAGAGATTTTGGATTCCTGGAGCATTGTGTAAGACTAATAACGGTTTAAATTGTAAATTATTATTTTTACAATATTGCTTAACTGTTGGCACAAAATGAAAAGTGAATCAATCTTTAAATATTAGCACAGTAACCCAGGTATTTCTATTTGATTTCCAAATGACTGGAAGCAATTCTTTATCTTTCCCTTTCAATGCTCTGGGATTTTTTACTTGATAAACTAACAATGGCTTCAATTTTAAATCACCAGCTAAGTTTCCACCAAGAAGCAATGTCAATTGGTTTTTGAAGGTTTATGTCCAGGGGCAACTGATTCTTCCTTCAATAAAAAATGTACAATTAGGCAATTTTTTCCAAAATAAACCTGTCTCATCTACATTGAATATTTGGCTAGGAGAATATTCTCCATCTAACTATATAAAGCTGAAAAACTGGATTCTTTCTTTCTTTCTGTCAGTGTATGCCAGAAATGGCCACTAGGGGTGCCCCTCGTTATTATTAAATTAACAATAAATTCAGTATATTATTTGATGCGGATTTTGCATTTTTGGCTGCATTTTAGTAGGGTACGCCGTGAGAAATTCAGTATATTATTATTTTTATTTTTAATAGGAATTTATTATTAATACCATGGAATGACACCGCTGCTGCTAGAACGCCCACTAGGGGGTGTTCCGGGCTACTAGAATAGAAGGATTAGAAGTACAAAATAATCTAATAATCTTAATCTTTGTTGTTGTCTTTTGCCGGGCAATGCCGGGCTCACCTGCTGGTCTACAATAATTTTGGACAATGAGAAAATTAATTATTTCACAGCATCTTTATCTGCATCAGCCGATTCTCCAGTAAATTAAATATTATGTAAAGAATATATCATTTTAAATTTGTCAAACATATTCCTTAATTTTACTCTTATTTTGAAAAATTGAACATATCGTAGATCTGTTTACATCGTACAAACGTCGATCAAAGCAAAAGATTCACCATTTTCAGAATGTTTAATTATTTCCATCTTTGTCTCGATCGTACAAAGTTTACGAGTCCTTAACTTCCTTTTGTTCGTATCAACACTGCAGTTTCTCCATTTCTCACTCATGTTTATCAATTTATAAGGACAAAATATTTAAACATAAACAAATAAATTGGAAAAATAAACAACACTTTGAAGCACGCCCTAATGCAAAACCGAAACTGTTTCGGTTGCATTAGTTCACTTGCTCGGAACAACACAGTAGCGATTAAGATTCCAAGAAGTCCGCCATCGTAGGAAGTAACGCATGTCCGAGAACGTAGAGCGAGCTACCACACTTCATAGCATACGAGCATTCCGCACGGAAGCAAATTTTTTCATTTTCGTTATCAAATTTTTTAAAAATATTTAAAAAGTCAAATTTTTTAAAATGTGCGAAAGTAGAACGTGCAAAAGTCGAGGGCCGCCCATAATTTCATTTTCAACCATTTTAACTCGTGTCATTATCAGTATATATCTGCTTGCTAAAAATCAAATGGGGATTTAGACACACTTAACGGAACCGCCCGTAACTTCAAACATTTCGACCCGAGCGACGACGGTAACTTATTCCGGACGAGTCCGCCTTCCGTCCAAACGCCGCGGCTCTTCTTCCGACCGCACCGTCGATCCGTAAACGCGGAAGAAAACCTTCGAACCCGGCCGTTGCATTATTCGAAACAAAAAGGCACCGACCGAGAAAAAATTCGAGATGAGAATAAGTTTGTCTAGATACGGCATCGCCGAGCAAGCGTCTTTCCGGCGGACCAAAAGGTGGTCTTCGCAACGCCGAATCCGAAGGGCGGCGGCTCTTCTCGGCCGAGAACGTCGAAGTTCGGCCGCGGGCGTACCGAAACGACCGTTCCGAGAAGGCAAAAAGCGGTCGAGAGACCGGAGACGGCGTCCCGGAAAAGACTCTACAAAGTATCTACGAAACACTCAAACAACGCGGAAGGGCGGAACAAACACCGATCTTTTAAATATTTAAAACGTCGCCGACCGGAAACGGAGGCACGCTCCGGCAGACCGACGGGACCGGGTAAAATTAGGACGGGAGGCGACGACGGGACCGCGGCCGGCCTCCCGCGGCGGAAAGCGACAATTCCGCAGAAAAATCCAACTTGGCCGATAACTTCGACACGCCGGCGGAACATAAAATACCGAAGTCTTTAAAGCCTTTTCGACGGCAAAACACCGAACGGAGATAAAAGAATTTACGTTTAAGAAATAGTCTAAAACCGAGCAAAATGCATCCACAAGAAATTCGCGGTTTAGATTTGGGGTTACAAGAAATAGGTCGGTAACGAATTCTTTCCTTTCTAATTAGGCGATAACCATAGAATTTCAACGCATTACCCATAAAATGCGAGAGAAGACGTCATCCGAGGGGGCAACAGCGAAACAAAATTAATTTCGACAAATCTCAAACTTTCTCAAAGCACAAGCGTAGGAAATTATCTACGGAAAGTGGGAGGGTCCCAAGGTAAACGGCTAGAGGCCTAAAGGATGTATTTTCCTTCCGTCTTTAATTACGCGGGTTAAGTTTATAGCGGCGAGACGGCGATTTCCGTGGTATTTATTTTTGGTAAAAACTCGATTTTTCTTATTTAAATCCGGCGACGGAAAGCGAAACCGCGGGACGTAACGACGGGGATCAATCGATAAGCGAGACATACGAGATATAAAACGTTGGAGATTTTATAAGCATATTCCCGCATTCCGAGAAATCTCTTCTTTTTTACCAATTAAGAAGCGGGCGGCTAAGGTAAGAGAAAATTAGGAAAGGAAGGAACGGGCAAGCGTAAAGGGAAGCGGGAGGCCGAACCAATCTTACCTTCGGAGTGGTCTTAGAAGAAAAGTTGTCGGGACATGATGGTATTTACGGAAATTTATCCAAAGATTTGGGAGCGACCAACATGACAGAGCTGCGCCTGTTCGCCTTCCGATCGATAATCACGCCAACTACCAGAGACTCCATCGGTATGGCGGTCGTCGTTCACTAAACGTTACCGTAAAAAGTCGCCGTTGTTATTTTAATTCTGGCAAATTTATAATTCCTAAACATCGATTTTTCCTTTTCCTCCGTTCTTAATTCTCGCCTCGTTTAGGTTACGGGCCCCTTACATTTATTTTCGTCTAAAGCCTCCGTTTATTATTCGTTTTTCCACCCGCATAAATATTTTTAATAACTTGTAAAAATGTTAACGCTTTGTTCGAGTTAAGTGTTACTTCCGACGTGTAAAACCGAATAAAATATCGCCGTGGCTTCGATGACGGTATTGACGGACGTGACGGAGAAAACGGTAATCGTATTATTACGTCACACCAGAAAAATATTTGATAATAACGTTGCTCAGGTTTTTCGTTTATCGGAGATATTATTAGTGACGTAACAATAAAAAAATGCCGATTTTTATTTTCAAACTTAAAAATACTTTGATCGATATCATTACCTTGTTTACCTATTAATAATTAAAATTAATTTTAAACGAGGATATCGATTCGGTGTGGCAAATCTGGGATGACATTTTTTAAAATGTATTCCGTTATTTTATTCCATATTCGGTTAACTTTAAAAACTATAAAGAGCGAGTCGTTCCGACCACGGCCATTTTTATTTTAAAATTCGTGCGAAAACTTTAAAAAATTCACTTTATTCTCGAATTGGTGACGATTTCTTATTATAGCTCATTGTCGTAATGTCACAAAAGTATACAGTTTCCTTAAATTTTCACTTTGATCGAGGAATAGTCCTTAACACAAAAAGTCGATTCTTTTCTTATTTTAAACTGTAAATCTCGGACAATCCTAAATTATTTAATGATTTTTTAATTCATTTATATTTTAAACTCTTTTCGCCCTGTGGGCACTAAGAGCCGGTCTATTACGGGTTCGACCGGGAAACCAAAAAATTTCTAGGGATTTTTCGAGTCGTCCGAATTCGATCCCGGGTCTCCAGAGCGGTAGGATGCCGCCGCGACCACTCGCCCATCCGGTTGTGATTTATTCCGATTAATAAACACAGTAGATCCCCCTATAAGACGGTAGATACGTTCCGTTCTTTATGAATTAATTTTGTAACAATCACAGCCCGACACGTGTGAAGTTTACGGAGTACGGCTGTTTGAAAGGTTTTCTTCCGTAAAATTAATCGATTCTAGACTAATCCGACTCAACATTTCCAAAACACGTATAATTTTTTGGGAATAATCTGTATAAACTACGCTATAAACAAAAAATTGTAGAATTACTTACCGAGTGTGCACCATTCGACATCGCCGTTGCTCAAGCTTGTTTTCGTCGCGGAACAGCGCAGCAAACCGCAGCCGCGATTTCTGATGTTATTTTTCTGCGAAAACTTCGTTGAACTTTGGAGACATCATTAATATAAATAATTTTAATCGCCGTTGAATAAGAAATATTTCTTTCACAAGAAATGTATAAAATTACAGTACTNTAGTCTCAAACAGTGTTAGAGCCGCCGCAAACTAGGGCTTTGCGAGAGCAAACACGCTAGCAAACGTGCGCTAGACAACCGATGACGTCGAAGGCTCCGCCCATGTCTTCTTGCCCACGCTGTTTTTCCTTCGCTAGCGCAGCGATACGAGAGTACGCTCGCTGTTCAGATATTTCAACAACTAGAGTATTTACGCTAGCAAAAGAGGACGGGAAAAATGGATGACAACATAAACATGTCACATAATTATATATACAGTACCTAATTTATATATAATTTATATATAATTATATATACAGACGACACTAAACTCAATTTACCCGCCTAAACTGTCCGTAGCGTGGCACTGGACGGCGGAAAGTAGTTCGGCTGCCCGATGACGTTTTACGTAATTATAGGAGTTTTTTACTGTTGTTTACGGATACCGCCACAATTTTTTCGCCGTCTTATAGGAATCGTAATTATAGGAACCCGTCTTATAGGGGGATCCACTGTATTTCGAAATATTTTCGCCATCCTCGTAATACCATTGGCGCTCGTATCTGCATTATTCCGTTTATATCGCCATTAACGGAATTTTTAAATCACCAGAGCGTGTTCCACGCGTAATGGCGCTTTCTTCGCAATCTCAAAACACTCCGATTTCGTTCTGTTTGAGAGAGAAAGCGGTCGGGTATTTAATAAAAATACCGGACAAAAAGACGTTTAGTGATGCGTTCGATACATTTTGAATTTTTAAGAAAAAAAATTACACTTCAAACCAAATTTACTCGGAATTCGGCCATTTGATTGAAAGAATTTTGCATTAAAATTACTAAACTGGAAAAATTACGGCTTCGTTCTTATTTTTGAGTAATTGCGTCGAAAATATTGTATCGAACGGCATATATTTCGATACTGACTTTAAGTTAGACAAATGTCAACGTAATTATAGATTTGCAGAAATTATTCTTAATTTACCCGTTGTTTTTTCAATGCATTCGTCATTTTTTGAAAGTAATCGGATTTACTTACCTGTCCTCCGATTAATTTGACAAAATATCACGGAGCCGAATTATTTACAAGGAACCATACTTAGTCCGTTCCACAATCCAAACTGTGACGAAAGACGATGGTATCGCGCAAAAGGGAATTCTGGTTTCTCCACGGATAATAGGATGGAGATAGCTTTTTCATTTTATTGATAGATACTTTCCGCCCCGTCGGCGCGCTAAAAGTGCCTCTTTTACGGTCCCGTAGGTCTATGTTAGGACGGCAGAGTGGCGAAGGACGGGACCGAACTTTCCTTAAAATTTCTGAGCTCGTCCGGCCCGAGAATGGCGGGCCGTCCGTTTATCGTTTCGGACGGACCGACACTGAGTGTAATAAATCATCTTTATGAAGAGTAATTTTCTCCGTTCTTTTTTTAAACGTGATATGGATGCTGCATATCCTATCTACAGTATTTACTCGCATATAAGACGAGGTTTTTATCCATTTTCTCGCTGCTTCAAAAACCTAGGTCGTCCTATACGCGCCAGCGAAGGATTCTTTTCCTTTTTGTATAATTTTTGTAAACTGTGTATTCGCATTTTTTACCTTCTGGCGTTTAAAAACATAAGCTTTTTATCTGGGTCGTTTCAATCGTTCTTGTATATTGTTGGGAGTAAAGATGAATAGCGATAGGAAAAGCAAATCTTTTGAATCGAATTCCAAAATCACGCGGGAGCCCGAAATAAGTTTTAATTCATTCCCACGTGAAAACGGATGATTATTTGGAAATCAGAATTCGAAGAAACTCGTAAGTGTAATCGACGAAGAGTGAATTCGACTGTTAAGAATTGGCAAAAAAGGTTCCCAATAATTGTCCAGCTTTACACGAACAAATTATGTTGTCGATTTTACAAGATTTTTACTTGAAGTTTAAAATGCCACTAATTTTTGCGGGACAATGTGTACATTTACGTGCATTTGACATTTTATTTTTGATTAAACGAAACAAAATTAGAATTGTATTAATAAATCTAATTTTCTTTATTTTGATCTTTAAAGTCACATCTCGTCCTATACGCGAGATCGTCTTACGCTACGTCCTACGTGGCAGCGTCCAGCGACCGCGAGCGGAAAAAAATCATTGTACGCGCGTTCAACTGGCGAGCGACTTCTGTCCAGAGTGGATGCGTGTTGTTTACAAAATGGCGGCGAGACGACTTTGTCGAATGCTTGCTGCGGAAAATATAACAGACATTAAAACGGTAAATTTGACAGATAATTGTTATCACTAACTAGATACGCAACAAATATACAGTAGAGCATCGTTTATCCGAAGGAATTCCAGTCGACAAATTTAAATTTTCGCCAGTGCTGTGGCGCTGTAATCTTTGGCTATGTCTTCGGCTACTCAAATAGTTTACGTTTTTGATACTAAATTAACTTCTGAAGTATAATTTTTTATTGTTTTTATATTTTTCAATATATTTATTTTGTTTGTACAAAATAAAAAAATAATTTTTAACGATACAATAGTCTTCGTTAGGCTTAACATCGACGAAAATTCAACGCGCAGCGACACGCAACGGAGAAAAATTTCAACACGGGATAAATTAATATATTTTTTCGTACATAATTGGTTATCTGAAAAATAAGTTATCCGAACAACCCCAGTCCCCAATTGATTCGGATAAACGACGCTCTACTGTAAATAATCTTCATAGAATAATAAAGTTAAAAAAAAGTTTTAGTTTCAAAACGTTACATTTACAAAATCAGAAATTATTAAATTACGTAAAAGATTGTTAATTAAAGTACATGCAACATATATACACAATTTATTTGTCGTTCTGGTTTCATTCATCTACAAAATCAGCCATTTTCTTCGTTGGAAGCGCGAGCGATGGAAGCGACGATGAAACTGGCTTGGTAGCTGCTTCCTGCACGCGCGTGTAGAAGCGTCATCTGGTGGTCGTTACACGCTAAACGCGGTTATTCGGACGCGCGCATTTACTCCAACCAGTTTTTCCGCTCCTCTTAAAAGCGCGTTCACGCTCGCGGCCGCTGGACGCTGCCAAGTAGGACGTAGCCTTATATTCGAGTAAATACGGTATACGAGAGCGTCGCCAGCCAATGGGCCAGGGGGGCAAGATGATATAAATCGATAGAGGATATGAATTGTACTGTACGTAGGTAAAATAATAACGATTCTTAGAGCCGCCGCAAACTAGGGCTTTGCGAGAGCAAACACGCTAGCAAACGTGCGCTAGACAACCGATGACGTCGAAGGCTCCGCCCATGTCTTCTTGCCCACGCTGTTTTTCCTTCGCTAGCGCAGCGATACGAGAGAACGCTCGCTGTTCAGATATTTCAACAACTAGAGTATTTACGCTAGCAAAAGAGGACGGGAAAAATGGATGACAACATAAACATGTCACATATCGAAAAAGAAATTATAGAATTTTATCGATGTACGTAAATTACATGATTAATACATTCAGTATTGAAAAGAAAATAGTATAACCGTTGTATGTAAATAGTAATATACAGTATAAATAGTTTTCGGCTAGTTAAGCCTAGTTAGGCTTAACTAGTAAACATGTTTTTTCCATGCTGTTTCAAAGTTCGGAACGAAAACTGACTGATTACAAGTATAGGTTATAATAAAATCTTGTTCTATAGCCAATCTACATCTGTGGAATCCACGTCATGTGCACTACGTTACGCGAGCAAACGTTGTGTAGTTTGCGGCTGCTTCGTGCTCGCGTAGCTTACCTAGCAAAAATGGCTCAAAGCATCATGGGAAAAAAGGCTTAGGAGCGCGAGCGAGCGTACGCTAGCTCCCGCATCCTGTAGTTTGCGGCGGCTCTTAAAGTTTTAACTATTTACTATGTACCGGAGAAGAAATATCTTAATAAAAACGTTTTTTTTTT